GGCCGGCCGGGGCCGCCATGCGTGTCCGTGTGTCCCCGCGCTTCTGTCTGCTGAGTGACCGCGCTCTCTGGTGCGTTTCGGAGCCTGGTGTCTTTCGGTGTGCATGCCGCGTATCCGGAGGTGTGTCTGCGGAGCTTGTGTCTGTGCGTGCGTGTGCGCCTCGGGGTGTAAAGTGGACGGTGCCGGATGTTTGTGTGCGCGCGTGTCTGCGTGTGCGCGTCCCACGTCCCTCCCTGAGGCCTGCGATCCTAGACAGTGGCCGGTTCCAGCGGAGTGGTTGGGCCCTCCTCCTGGAAGCCTTCCCCGCCCCCGGCCGGGCGGCTTCCCGGGCGCGGGGTAACTGGGAGACGCCCCAGGCAGGATCCCAGCCGAGACGCGTGCCGGAGACGCCTCCTCCCGGCCGCCAGCCCCAAAGAACGGACCTCCCCAGGATCGAGTTCGCGGCCCGCCCGCCGGCTGGGGCGTCTCGGACCGGAGCTCCCACGGCTCCCGAGTTGGCCCCGGCTTCGCCCCGCAGCTTCGGGGCTATCCGACACGGGTTTAGCTTTGGCCTCCCGGTGCCCGAGAGGAAGCCCAAGGCGACCTCCCTGCCCATCCTCCTCCAGTTCCTCCCCCGGGTCCTGCAGCAATATTGCTTCCACCCTGATCCTCCCCACCCCCACTCCTACCTCTGTCACCTGGATTCCGAGAGCCCTCTCTTGCCCCAGGTCCTGCCAGCAGGTTATTGTCGGGAACTGAGGCTTGGAAGTGAAACCGAGAGCTAGTGACTCCCATTCTTGAGGCCTTGGTTTCCTCATCTGCCTCGAGGTGGTAATAATAATGGTGTATGGTACTTAGTGCAAATTAAGGCTCTATCTGTGAGGGCCAGGGAACAAAAGATGGGTTTGAGAGTTGTTAAAAAGCCCCAGAGGCTGATTTGAAGCCAGGGGGCAAATTCTGCCTCTGCCACTTGCTGCCCTTGTGATCTTAGGCAAGTCACTTCACTTCTAAAGTTCCCCCCCTGGTAGCTGTTACTGTTAAAGCCAAATTTCGAAGCCCTTAGTAGGAGAGATATGATGATCACCTTCTGCCTCCAATCTGAATAGAGGCAGCCAGCTCCCTGAGTGCCTCCTGAGTTTCCCGGGTAGGGGCGGGTATGTGATGCCACTCAGCCTTGCAACATGGCAGTAATTTATTCTGCTGTGCTCTTGCTCACTTTGTCCTTTTGGTCGCTGGAGTTGTGGATGGCAGGAATGAGGGAGAGGCTGCTCAGTGGTTTCAGGTTGGGCAGTAAAGGCTTGTCTGGGCATCCCACCCTTCTCACGGGGGGATTGGGGAAGGGGACTGGGCAGGAAGCGGTGAGAGTGGCCAGGGCAGGGTGCTGAGCTCCTTGCTAACTAGCTCTAGCGTCAGCGGAAATCCAGCGCCGGCACCCTGCTTGCTGGAGGCATGCCACTGTCCTTCCGTGCTCTTTACCGGCCAAACTGGGCTGATGGGGGGTGGCCCTTCCATGCAGGACTGGGTTAGCCAGAGTTGCAGGGGATGCCTGTGTTTCCACCCCTCTCTCTGCCTCCTAGTAGCACTCCTGCATCGTCATTCCACCTGTCTGTCTGTTCTCCCAGAGACTCTCATCTGTCTCCTTTTCTCCACCCTTAGCCATCTTTCACCTGTGAGAAGGCTGTAGCCTCTTCCCTCCATCCTTTCCTCTACGGTGCCAGGGGTCTTCCTAAAGCATATGTTTTAAACTCGGGGTTAAAACCATTTGAAGGCCTGGTGTGGTGACTCACGCCTGTAATCCCAGCATTTTGGGAGGCTGAGGTGAGAGGATTGCCTGAGTCCAGGGGTTTGAAACCAGCCTGGGCAACTTGGTGAGACCTTGTCTTTACAATAAACCAGAAAATTAGCTGGACATGGTATTGTGCGCCTGTAGTTCCAGCTACTTGGAAGGCTGAGGTGGAAGGATCGCCTGAGCCCAGCAGGTTGAGGCTGTGGTGGCCATGAGCATGCCACTTTATTCCAGCTTGGGTGTCAGAGTGAGACTCCAACTCAAAACAACAACAACAACACCACCACCATTTGAAGGCTCCCCCTTGCTTTCAGAGTTAAGTCCTTCCCCTTTGGCCTGGTTGCTTGCTCTAGTCCCTGCCTGTCTGTCCAGCTCCATCTTGCTTTGGGTCACTCACCTTTTGTATCCTCTGATTTGCCAGACTGACCTTATCAATAGCCCATAAGTACCTATGGCCACCACCTCCTCTCTGGGCCTTTGCACGAGCTGTGATTTCTCCCCAGTATCCTATAGCTCCACCTCTTCGCAGGTGTACACCTGCAACCTGTTCAGCTCTCAGCTTAGACATCACTCCCTTCCTGAAACCTTTCTTGGTTAAACCTTGTGCTAACCCAGGAACTGGGGGTGGGAATTGACCGGATTTTTACATGCCATATAATTATTGTAATTACAGTTTACTGGTCCTGTCTTCCTTACCAGACAGAGACCTCTTTGAGGACAGGGACTGGGTATTTAGTTCATCTTTGAATCCTTAGTGCCAGGCACAAGGCCTGGTCCACCTGGCCCAAATAAATGTGGCATGAAAGAATGAATGTAGTCGAGAGGGTCAAGTTCAGAGGTGGAGATGCCAGATGGGGGCGCACTGACTCCACTGAAGGTAGAGATGAAAGAACTAGGCTTTCCCTCCAGGAATCTGGAAAATTCTGCTACGGGTTGGTGTTATGTTGTCAAAAGGCCACTTCGAGTATCATCTGGGAGCTTTGAGTTGGGGAGGTCAAGTCCCTGGCAGAGAGTGAAGGGAGCAGGTCTCCTGCCTGCCAGCTCCTTTCCCCAGACTCCTGCCCCACCCCCAGCAGCTGGCAGGGCTTGTCCAGCGCCTAGGCTCAGTCCTTTGTGATGAGGCCTCGGCAGTTGGTGAGGCATTGAGTCTCAACGGTCTGTCTCAGCGTCTGGGGGAGGGAAAGCGTAGGGGGGAGTGGGGAGCCTTGTGTTAGGAGGGGGAGGGAAGCTTCCTGGCAGACCCTTCTTCAGTCCTCAGTCCCAGATCTTGGGATAGGCAGATGAGGTCACAACCTCTGTCCTGACTACTTGTGTGCTCCAGGGAAGGAAGGAAAGCTGCTTTCCAGGGTTATCCTGCAGGTGGGGTTAGGGGTGGCTGGCTGGGGTATGTGGGGAAGTGACCCTGCCATCTGGGCAGTCAGAGTGGGGAGTGGATGTGCATGTGGGAGTGTAGCCAGGGGCATGGGACATATGTATGACCTGTCAGGGTATCTAGCCATCTGGTTACCCTGGTGTGTCAGGATCTGAATTTGGAGTAGGGAGGCGACCAGCTGCTTTGATCCTGATGCTGGGTGCCTGGATATCCAAGTGTCAAATTCCTGGAGTTGGGTACATATTTATTTGGATGGGTGGTGTCTCAGTATCTAGGTGTGGGTGTCCCAGTATCAGGGCGTGCACACGGAGGATATCCTAGTGTCTCCAGTTCAGGAGGTGGGCGTATCCAGGTGTCTGGGAGTCCTCAGGTTCGTGGACATACAAGTGTGGAGTGCCTCTTTGTTGTGTCCAGGTGTGGGACTGTCTAGGTACCTGGGTGTTTTGATGTAGGGGTCCCCAAATGTTTAGATACCTGAGTGTGGGTATCTCTATGTATTCAGCAGCAGGGAACCCACAGTTGAAGGAGCCAGGAATTTGTGAGTCTGAGTGTGGGGTGTGGTGTGTCTATTTGTATGAGGAGGTGTGGAGGTTCCCTGGTGTCCTATGCACGTGTTTGAACATCCAAGAATGGGGTATGGATGTGTTGGGTGGGAG